CTGTCAGCGCCCTGGGGAGAATCTGCCATGTTGCCCCTGAGGAGGCGGTGGGTAGTGCCTGCTCCCAGCCCTGGATGGGATCAGTCTGTTGGGTCTGGCCAGTAAATGTGAAAATCGGCGATTTCTAATTGTCTGTGCTCCCAGGCCTGTACTCCTGCAGGCTTCTCCCATGCTGCTCAGGAGAAAGTGAATTGCACGCCGTCCCCTTTTCTTTACTCTGTGCTGTGCCCTCCAGATCTCAAGCCCACACGGAATAGCATCAAGAAAATATCCATCTTTGCTGTTTAATATAAATCTAGTGATTTTCAGGTGCAGAGGAGTATGCTTTCCTTGACTGGCACCTTTATGTATATCAGCTTATTTACAATGAAAGGAATTAGAGCTCTGTGAATTATTGAGGGCACGTAAAAATGAGTTGCCTTGTGACATGGAAGGTCTGTTCCCCCATTCTGCAGAAACTACTTGAAGAAAATACTGCTGATTTACTTTGCCAGGATATAGCTAAGACAAATACAGGAAAGGCTGGGAGGTACCTAAATACCTGCATGATGGTGGGGCACTTAAATAATCTCCCCCCACAACAAAACCCTTCTCCCATGCCCCCCCACATACCCCCATAAAGGGATGAAGAGAATCCCCTGTGGGACTGGAAGTGGTGTCTGAACGGCTGCGAAGGGACAGCAGATGCAGAGGTCCTGCTGACCCTGGCTGATGTTGCAGCACTTAGACTGCAGTCTTTGCTCATTGCTGCAGCAGTCGCGGCTGTTTAGTGTGTGACCAGAAACCAAGGTTGTTGAGGAATACCCAGCACCAAAAATAGAGAAGACTGTCAGAGTAGGAAATAGCTTGTTTTCCTGTAGAGAGAAAGGACCAGATGGAACAACATGTGAGCTTGTTTGAAGAGGGGCTCGGGTTGATATAAGGGGATTCTGTTGGGGATTCTGCTCTCTGCTGAAGTAGTATGAGCCCTGTAGAGCCATTCTAAAGACCCACTATTATAAATTAAATTAACCCCCTTAATTATGTAGTAGTATACCAGGAGAATTATTTGCATGTGTATGTGGGGGAGGTTTTTCCACTCTCTGTAGGGAGGTGAAAATGAGCATTGTGTAACAGCTTAGGCATTTTTCAGGGTATTATGCTCTCTGCAACATAAGGATATTAAAAAGGTTTTGGTTTTGTTCATGTTGGTACATTCTTTTAGAGCACAAGGTTACTCACCCAGCAGGTAAAGTCTTCAGTCACTTAAAACCCAAACAACATACTCACATTAATCCATAACATTTTTGTGTGTTTAGTAGGGAGTCTGGTGCTGTAGTAGACAGCACAGGTACCAACATTGGGCTATTTGGTGTGCAGTATCAATAACATCCTAGGTAACCCTGTTTGTTTTGAGATCCTGTTACTGCTTCTATAGAAATAATAGAAGTTAAGTCCTGAAAGACATAATGCTATTGAATTTCTCACTGAATTTAATCTTTGTGTGGGGCCCACCTGTACCTTGTTTTCCAGATGTGCTTATACACGGAGGAAAGGCAGTAATTCCTCTCTTTAATGTTTTCCAGGTTATTCAGAAGTGATTCTCATGTCAGCAGAAAACTCAACCATCACAGTCCGTCTTGTTCGCTCTTTCGAACACCGGAACTTCAGACCTGTGGTATATCATGGAGTTAACTTGGATCAGACAGTAAAGCAGTTCATTACTTTCGTGCGGAAGGGTAAGGGGCGGTTGTTGTATTCATTCACTTCAGTCCCACGTGTTGCCATCTCTGCACAAGAAAGTGGAGGGGAGCAAATGAATGGGGATTCTGCAGCTTTGGTAGAGATGCCAGATTTGTATTTACATCCCCTGTGTACTCTTCTCCCTTGGATGAGAGGTTTGGAGTTCCATGGTCAGTGTGCCATGCGTAAATTTGGGAAGACTGCTTCCCCTGCCAAAACCCTCGTGTTTAGTCAAGAAGAGGTGAGGGCATTGCTGCATTTGGCTCAGTGCCTCAGGCTCCTTGAGTGGTGCTGTCAGGCAGCTATTTGTAAATTAACAGGAGTAAATTAATAGAATTTAGAGAGCCTTTGATCCTTAGGAACTACACCAATATGCGGAATGTGGGAATGCAAGTCTGTCTGCTATTTGTGGGAAGTGAGGATCTTGAAAAATTGTTTTTGACACTGTGAGCTCTCACTGTGCAAGTTTGCTTCCGAGTTTCTGTCTCCATCTTGAGTTTTGTGATGCAGATTTGCTCATCTATGGGTTTTATGTTTTAGAAGCTTGGTTGAAAGTGACAGTGTATCTAAACGTTAATTAATGTAGACCAGCCCACGCAGTGACTTAGCAGCTAGGGCGTTACCCTAATCTTGCAGGTGTATTTCTACACACCTAAATGGAGACATTCAAAGGGTGCAGAATAACATAATTTGATTATTTTTTTTTTTTGCATGAAGTCATCTTAAACAAGTCTCAAACTGTTATAGCTGATAACATTTGAGCAAATCCTAGGACATTGCCCTGGGCCTCACAGCTGTATTGTGTTTTCAGCAACTTACATGCTACTGGACAGTGATAGGCATGGCAAGATCTTAGGGTGCTTTTAGAAAACTATAAGCACTTTCATAACATATGGTACAGCTGATGTTACAAAGAATAAAAAAACAATGCTAAGAAACTTGCTTTTGATGTGTGCAGTATTGCAGCTTGCTGTTATTTGAGACAAAGCTAGTGTCTCAAACAAGACTTTTTGGAACCTCATTCCACAGATGGATGGATAGTACTGTTCCTGAACCAAAATGAGCCGCATTCCTTTTTTTACTGTAATCTGTTTTGAAGGAGGAGTTTGAAATAAATTGTTAAACTACTGATAAAATTATGGTTTCAGCTGCCTTGCTGCTGAGCACCCCACAAGTGGCTGGGCCTTCCAAGGCCCTGGTTAAGTCCCTGGGTGTCACTGGAAGCATTGGTACCAGGGAAGGTGTCAGTGTTCTTGCAGTTGCTTATGGGCTGTGTCCTGCATGTAGCCAAAGAGTTAATTTTTTACAGTTTGGCTTCCTTTTTGTGGCTGGTTCACATGGCTGTGTTTACTGAGCAATTCAGTTATGAATGCCAGTTGTAAGCTGTTTGTATAAGGTAGAGAGAGATGCTGTGCAAACCATTAACATGATGTTGCTGGCAGATTTCTGAAGGATCAGACTCCTGTGATCATATCCTAATTGCACTGACTCACTGTCCTTATGGGGTGTTTTGTTCAGAGGGGCTTCATGCTTAAGTGAAGTTAATCAGTTACGGAGTAACTATAGAATCTGAGCCAAAGGTTGTGTTTTAGTACTTGATGCTCAAACAAGTCTCCTGTCTTGTGGATTTATTTTGATGTAAAGGATGTCCATACAACATAAAATAGTGCAAAAAAAAATAAAAAAAGACAACTTGGTTTTAACTTGATGCTTTTATTTTCATAGATGTGCCTTCAAGAACAGGACTTCCTCCTCCTTTCAAAAATTACAAGTATGGTACGTGGTTTTTTTCTTGTTTTAATTCCTGTAAAATGCAGACATAATATTTTATGCCAGTTTCTATACAATTTAGAAGACAGCTGCTGTAGAATACTCATGTTGGTGGCAGTGCCTGCCTACATTTGCAGCTCTATCCAGCTCTTGGAGGTGGGGTTATTGCCACTGAGATCATGTCTACAGAACTTGACCATTATTTTGAAGTTCTGTATTAATCTTTGAATCAGGTTGCATACATTATTTGCTAATTGGCACTGATGGTTTTTGCTATTAATTTTTTATTATTTTTATAAGTGCTTTCTAACTTTTTACTCTAGTGAGCAGCTTGTGATCTCAAACACTTTGAAATTGTAGTTCTCTGTGCTTATGTATTTTAGTATCTATTTACTAATTGTGAAGTCAGAGAGGATGGTGAAGTAGGAGCTGAAAGCAGTAAATGGAAAATGCTTAAGACTTAAGAAAATACTTAAATAATTTACACGATATAAGAGAAGCAGAGGAACTTTGCTCAAAATAAATACGAAAGCTCTTAAATACAAGCTGACAGTGTGAAATTTATGCTGACTTTATCCTCTAATGTAAAGTTATGTGTATATTTCCTTTTTGTGAAGATTGGCATGAATGTGTGCAATTCATTTGTTTGGGACAGAATATGCTTTCAAAATAGACTAAATTACTTCCTTTCTTCGAGTTTGTTAACTCAGCTGTCAGTGACATAACTTTTCCTAAATTTGGCGATTCTGAAAATTCCCTTGGAGTTTTGCTGCCAGTGATCCTCTGTCTCCCATGTTCTTGGAGTTGACAAACTCCTTCCTCTACGGTGATTCAAAGAACTGAACGAGGAACCTACTTCATACATGTGAATGGTAATAGAGTCTATTTGGAAAAAGCCAAGCATTTCATTCTGTCTTCTTGCTGATAGTGAAAAAGAGACCTGGACAAGATGGAGAGGTGGGCCTGTGTGAACCTCATGAGGTTCAACCAAGGTCAAGTGCAAGGTCCTGCACCTGGGTTGGGACGACCCCCAGTATCAGTACAGGCTGGGGGATGAAAGGATTGAGAGTAGCCCTGCCAAGAGGGACTTGGCGGTGCTGGTGGATGAAAAGCTGGACATGAGCCGGCAATGTGCGCTGGCAGCCCAGAAGGCCAACCGTACCCTGGGCTGCATCGGGAGAAGCGTGGCCAGCAGGTCGAGGGAGGGGATTCTGCCCCTCTACTCTGCTCTGGTGAGACCTCACCTAGAGTACTGTGTCCAGCTCTGGAGCCCTCAGCACAAGAAGGACATGGAAGTGTTGGAGCGGGTCCAGAGGAGGGCCACAAAAATGATCCGAGGGCTGGAGCACCTCTCCTATGAGGACAGGCTGAGAGAGTTGGGCTTGTTCAGCCTGGAGAAGAGAAGGCTGCGGGGAGACCTTATTGCTACTTTTCAGTACTTAAAGGGAGCCTATAGGAAAGACGGGAAATCTTTTTAGTAGGGCCAGCTGTGACAGGACAAGGGGTGATGGTTTTAAACTAAACCAGGGTAGGTTTAGACTAGATGTAAGGAAGAAATTTTTTACAATGAGAGTGGTGAAACACTGGAACAGGTTGCCCAGAGAGGTAGTGGAGGCCCCATCCCTGGAAACACTCAAGGCCAGGTTGGACGGGGCTCTGAGCAACCTGATCTGGTTAGCAGTTTCCCTGCTCACTGCAGGGGGGTTGGGCTAGATGAGCTCTAGGGGTCCCTTCCAACCCAACACATTCTATGATTCTATGAAACAGTGCAAAATGAAAGCAGAAAAAGTTAAGGATTAAGATTTATAATATGTCAGTGGCAAGGACTTGAAAGTTACTATTATTTTTTATATATTACTTAAGGTCTTAAAATTTATGTAACTGAGTTTGAATTTGGAGGTGCCCTTCTTCCCTCTATCTGTGGCTTTGGCTAGATGAGGGTTCCTATGGAGGACTGCAGCTATCAGTTGTATTCCTGGTGCTGCCTGTCCCTGCTGCTAGTTCTTTCATCACTTAGAGCTTCATTGTAGTTTTTCCCAAGGCATATGTTGTGGCTGAGCACCTGACTGTGCTGCGTAGGACTGAGCATAATGTGGGTGGAAAACACTGTGGAACTTTAAAACCTGTTACACCAGTTAAGTGAGCACCTACTTTTAGTGGGATGGTGCTAACTGCCTGGAAATTTTCACACAGAAAAATTGAAGCCAAGTTCCTCACCTTCCCCTCAGGCTGTGAATCATCCAGATTAATGTTTTTGGCATCTCTTGTGTGCTCTGCTGTCTTTCTTGTGTTTCAGTGATGAAAGGGCAGTGAGACTTGAGCATGAATAGTGCTAGTGAGAATCAGATTTTTCCTTCTGCTTTGTTTGGCAGTGCCAGGAATCTCATGGCACTCAAATGCCTGGACCTGGCTGGCTCTCACTCTGTGCCTGTTTTGGCTTCCTTCTCTCCAGAATTCAGCACCACTTTGTTCTCTCAACATCATGTATAATGCCATCCCATTTTTCCTCTTGGCTGGGTGCTCTAACTCACATCTCAAAGCTTATGACTTTCATTTTCTCTTCATTTCTGACTTTGTACACATCATTCCTGTCCTTGGTCTAGAACTCCTCATAGTCAATCTTCTCATTTCCCTGCCCTGTCATTGCCATCTTTTCACTGATGATGGCAGCCTGGGTGCCAATTTGTCTCATAAGCTGCTTCTCAATTTATTTTTTTTCTATGAATGTGGAGCAATATGGTAGATATTTCACAGAATCAGACTTAGAAAGTGATTTCTTATCTGTTGTCATGGAAGATCTATTACCAGAAAAGGAAAGGTAAAATCTGGTAATATGATGGAGTGGGACTAAATTGGGATGAAATAGCAAAGGCAATTGAGAGGACATAAAGCTTTTTAGCTAGGATGTGAAGAGACTGTAGTTTCATTTCTGTAACAGAGTCAGGGAAGCTATTTAATAGCTCAGATAAAAACACGGTAAACTACTGGATGCCAGTGGTGGAGCTGTGAAGAAGTAAAACTGAGAGAATAGTTCATAGAATGACTGGGAAAAGACTAGAGAAAAGGGGATGTGACAAAGTAGATGGAGAAACTTAAAACTAACAGGCAGAGGCTGGATTGTATTTGCTGTGGTAGAAAGTTTTTGTGATTGCAGTATATTTTTGCTGTGTTTGCTTGCTCTTTTTGCAATGCTTCTATGTAAGATGGATCCAGGGACCGCAATTTAATATGTGTGCGATTAGTACAGCATGCTAAGACTGCCTTTTCAGTGACCTCTGCAGTGGGAATAAGGAGTAGTTTTGACCTTCTGTAATGTTGCAAATAAAATGTTCAAAATGGGCCAGAGTGATATGGAAGGAAACTTCTGAAAGGGAATGTGATCTCTGTTATTCTGAACATTGAATACTTGCTCTTGGTAGCTTGAAAAGTCATTTTAGCCTATATTTAACTTTATTGCATCCTTCTCTTACCAGACTATTTCAACACGTAGTGTTCAGTTAATGCACAAAACCAAACTAGGACAGAAAATGATCAGGCAAAGAGAACTGTTTTTTGCTTCTTTGCTGGGAAGGGATTGATGTGTTATTCTGAATTTGTTCAAACACAGAGGCTTTGAGTTTCTTGGGGTTTTTAGTGCAGTATGGGCATCTTCTGACTTCCATTCCCTCTGGATCTTTGCACTCATCTGGTTACTTTAGTGACCACATTATTTTTCCCAGTTTTTTCCTTCTGTTAATGAAGTCCTGCCCACATTGCCGGAGGAAAGCAATATTTCTTTTTTTGTATAGCATAATTTCTAAAAGGGGTACAACTGTGCAAACGTATCAGAGATAAATATTACTGAAGAGGGCATAGCATTAAAAAGAGGAGAGGCGCTGTATGTGTTCGTGGAAAATGGACTTGCCTAACAAAATTTCTACATGAGTGCTTACTTCATGAGAAGGAAAATTTCAAGGAATAATCTGAAGCGGTCAGGTTACTGTGTCTTAATCACTTGCTGCCCATCAACTTAACTGTAGTAGCTGACAGTGCATAAATGCTGTTCGTCCTACCCCAGTTAGATGTATACAACCTGTTAGGGTAAAACACCCTAACTGGCATTTAAATTGATGTGTTTTGACTGGCAATTGGGATGATCATTAGTTAGTTATTGTAATTCAGCCAGCAGACAGAAGCCCAGTAGGATGTGGTACCTTAATGTTGGATTGACTGGTTTAAGACTGTGGCTGCAGGACTGGGAAATTAAGATCTTTTCTCCTCTTTTAGAGTGAATACACCAGATTGTTGTTAATAACAGATTTTGAACCTTACCCCTTTGTTTGTGTCTCCTTCCCCAAGTACAGCTTTCAGTGTTACCTGCCTATTAAGCCTTATTTTAGGAAAACATTCTATTTTCTTTCAGATACAATGAAGATTATTCACCAAGCACACAAATCTAAGGTATGATTATTAGCTGTATTCTTCCCCTTTTTCATGCTTTAATGCAGGCAGATCTCTGCACTGTCTAACAATACCGGGGCAGAGACAGTAAATTCTTATTGTTACCTTTGTATTCTGGTTCTCTGATTTGTAGACTGGTGAACTTGTAGTGAGTTTGGAGGATGATGACAAACTGATTTTGAAAGAAGACAGTACGCTGAAAGCAGCTGGAGTAGGTAGGAGTACATTTGTATTGACTTGAAGGTGCTGTTCATTGTGGTTGTCATTAAACTGATAACTGGCTGATTATGTTTGGATAGCCTGCTGAAAAGTAAATGCTATTCCTGATGCTCTTTACGCTACTTGATAATTATTCAGGGAAGAAGGGGGGATAATGTACATTCAAATCATTGGACTGAGGGCAGCAGGTATCTGCACTCCAAATGTTCAGAATGCAAATTGTGATTTTTAGAGGGTATGCTTATAATTCTGCTGAGAGTAATTTTAAATGATTGACAGATAGGTTATTAGTACCGTGTCTGCTTAGTCTTATCAGTAACATTTAAACTGATGTTTTGGTTAGAAATGTAAGTAGTGGAACCAGCATGGAATAATGAAATAAGATTAGATTTGTTTAATGTGCAGCATACAGTGCTTGATAGCCAGATTGCTCAGGAAAGCTCAAGCAGTATCATTTAGAGAATGTGCTGAACATAGCAAAGAGTTGAAACTTGACCTGATTTCTCACATTTTGACAGGGGACTACATATAGGGCATGTCTTTTGGTAATAATGTAAAGAACTGTCTGTCATGATAAAATTGATGGTCCCTGGATGTCCTTTGGGCTTCTCATAAATGTGGCTGAATGACTTTGTGGCAGCGGGGTACTTAAGGGATGTAGTTGCATTCCACCTTGATATGGACATTCGCTCATTTGAATCTGATTTGCCTAGCTGGAACGCATAACTGCCTACGCTCTCAGTGCAGAGGTGTCGCAGAGGAAGCTCCCTCCTGTTCCTGACGCCCTCTGATTGCTCCCCAGCTAGCGAATGGGATTTCTTTCACATAGGTTTCTTGGCTCTTTTGTTTCCTGCCATTTACTTTCTGGTTTTAAGCGACTTGGGATATCTATTCAATGTTTTTCTATGGGGTGAGCTGCAAGTGGCCTCAGTATACCTTTCCTAGAGGTCTTTGGGTGTTACTGTAATATGAAAGATGGTTATGCTCTGGCTATTTGTACTAAACCAGGGCTTTTTATCTGGAGAAAAAAAAAAGGTTCCTCAGGAAGAAGGATTACTGGCACTCAAGTCTTATAGATTTGTAATTTAGTTTGCAGAGATTCATTTAAGCATGATTATTATCTGCCTAAGGCATAAGAGGCAATGCAGTTCAAGAGAGGGACTGATGATGGTGCAAAATGTTGAATTAGAAACAACATTGTCCAGAGCTGCCTTCTTTCAAAAAAGTATTGATAAATATTTGTATATATTATCCATCTTTGAAACCAGGTTTGTAGCTACAGCAGTGAAATAGTTGGATGTGATTTTGAAAAAGGTGTCAAAACATCAGAGTAATTGTTACAGTGAAAGGAAATCAGAATAGACCAGCCTGTCCTGTGTCTTTGTACAAAGCAAGGGGTGGCTTTCTCAGGGCAGAAAACAATTTAAAGCTGCTGCTTTTTTTTTTTTTCAGAATAACTAACAGCAGTTAGTATGTCATGGGTGTTTGTGATAGAAAAGAAAAACTTGCTTTGTAAAATGCAGCGTGCTGTTACACCATTTTGAATTTTGATATGTTCCAGTGTATCTTGATATGAAAATTAGGTAAGTTAAGAGTGGGGTTGTTGTAGTAAAATCTTGAAGAAGTCCTCCTTCTTCAGCAAGAAGTGGAAAAGAGTAAATGAAGGAAGTGAAGTATGATAGCATGTACCACCAGTCCTCATTTTGTACAGTTTAATGTAAATCAGTAAGAAGATTTGAAATCTCCTATTGACATATTACATTTTTCCAGTATCTATTCTGGACAAGATTTACTAGAATGGAACAGAAAATTGCTGTTAGAAAATCTGGGAAATTCAGTGACATGCTAAGCTGCAACTGCTTGCCCTTGGCACTTTATGGGGTTGGGCTAGAGAGTTATAAATTATGAGGACATTAGATAAGTATCCTCAGGAAAGCCTCTGTGGTAGTGATTATTATTACAGCTATTATCTGGTCAGCAAAGTTAATGCTTGGGTTTTTTTAGGAGCAGGCTGTATGTTAATACAGTGTTCAGTATTCATTGCAAACAGTCTTGCCTGTTTTCTAGTTGAGATTCTAAAACCCCTTCTGCTCTTCTTTTTTTTCTTTTTTACAAGACAGGCAGACTTCATTAACTTCAGGTTTAATTTAAAAAACGAATGTGGAACTTATTGGCTCAGCACCTTAAAGAATTCCATGTTTAATAATTGTGAAGGCTTTCCATCAGATTTGTCTCTGTTCTGAATTAGTAATGTTGCTGACTTATTGTTTTAGAAGAGGAAGTCCTTGACCTACTGGGTTGAAAGAATTGTGACTGCTCTGAACCTTTGTGGGTCCTTTAGCTCTGCCATATCCCCTGTGAATAATTAGAGGTATTTGAAGGTATTGCTGGAGAAGCCAATTTGTGTCTTTCACTTTGCATATTGTTGAAGCCTCATGAATAAATCATCAGCGGGGCAAAAAATTAACTTCTTCAGACACATTTTGATGGGTCATGAGGGAGAATGTAAAGTGATCTGTAAAATATTCTACTGATCCTCTAAGTATTAAGTTATTATACCTACAGGCTAATTTAATGGAAAAAATAGTTTCTTTTTCCCTTTCCAAACAGAAAAATGCACAAAAAAAGAGAAAAACATGCTTCATTATTTTTTCTAGCATTTGAAGGAGTTAGAAATGCAATCACTTAATTTGCCGAATGCTTATACAAACAATTCTGAAGGCTGTGTTGAACAAATCTTGAGGGGTCTTGTGTACATATTTACTTCTATATATTCAGGTTCTCGTGGGTTTTTTGGTTGGTTTTTTTTGTTTGTTTGCTTTTTTTTAAGGTTAAACAACATCTTTAATACTGGAATCTGTTTTTGCAAAAACATGGGGGGAGGGAAGTGTGTGTGGATTTATAATTGCCTTTGACCAAAAAGTTGCCAATTGTTTTTTAAGATTCTAAATAGCTAGCTGTTGGGTCATTCATTTACTGGTGTGCTAAATATTTAATTTTTTATTTGTTCTAGCAAATGAGACTGAATTAGCATTCTTCTGTGAGGAAGATTACAGAAACTACAAAGCTAATCCTGTTTCGGCCTGGTGAAGATCCCAAGAGATTGTTTTGTTTTCCCATACCTGTTGTAAATTTTCCTTATTCTGCTTAATGAGATTTTTCTTAAAGATCAATAAATCCTAGAGGATTGCTTTGCAAACAGTGCAATTCCCTTCCTATAGAAATTAATTTCTGTCAATATGCTAAGACTGAGAGAAGGAAAACTGGGGGACATAAATGACGTTTTTTCTTTCTTGCATTTCTTTTTCCTCTGCTTGCCTCTTACCATGCAGGCACTGCAATCTCTGACCTGTGACACACGTTGTTGGTGTGATCCTATAGCAGTCATTAGCTACATACGGAGATTATACAATGCAAGGTCTCATCACAGTACTAACTTTTAATGAAAACGGAAACGTTTCACATCCAAATCATCGGGTATTTTAGAGAGCTTGAGAAGAGAATCTCTCTGTTTCAAGTCATAGCTTTACTTCTCTCATTTTGTATCTGGTCTCTTTTGTTTAAATGGTACAGACTGGCAAGTGTTTCATGCTCTTCACTGGTGAATGCTTTCCTTTATACTCTCTTCCAGCCCTCTTTAGCATGCTGAAAGGGAAAAACGACTGTTGGGAGGCTTTTGTGTTCAAGGACCAGCTTGCCTATTTCTAGCTTTACTTCATGGAGACACCTTCATGTACAAGGTAGCAACCTGAGTTCTGCCAGGACATCAGTGTGCATAAGTAGGAATTGGGCATTTTTCCAAATGGAGTGAAGCTCGTGATTTCAGTTTTAAGAATAAAACCTGGATGATTGAATTTTATGAGGAGAGGCCCAGTCTGCAAGCCACATGTCTTCAAGACTGGAATTGATTGTTTCCTGGTTTCCAAGAGCCAAATACTCTGTTGTGGTATGTTAGTTCTCGGTAATTCCATGCTTTCCTACTACATTAACCATATCAAGCATAAGAAAAAATAATCCTCCATCCAATAAAGTACCTTTAGATAGACACTGCTTATGAAACTGTTCTTTAGGGGGTACCAAGATGGGACACTGTGCCTTTAAGCCTCTCTTCACTAAAATAGAAGTGATGCTGGCTCTCTGCCTTAGCAGGCTTTTTGGGCATAGGCTCTGCTAAATCAAATGAGACCTCATGTGCAATTGCTTTAGACCCACACATCTTCCCTCAGCTCTGGGTGAGAGCCGACAACACTATTTCCACGAGAGACTTTCCAGAGAAGGAAGCTTACCATTTCCTAGAGCTTTGATAATTTTTTTTTTATATTGACATGTGATAGTGAAAGCAGATGTGTGATTTCCAAAGTATCTAAATAAAAGTTCTCTTTACTTTAGATGTAGGGCCAAAGAAACGTCTGTGTATTGTTCCCACCTCATTTTCTTCATCCTTCCTGACAACTCTTTGGTTTAGGCTGGTTTCGGTAGCTGGTGTTACTCACCAACAGCTTTGCTTCAAACAGAGTTTTATTCTCTTGTGAAAGTAGTCTACCACTTTGTCATCTGCGATTAAAGGGGTGGTTGTATCTTTATCTTGTAAGGAGGAGTCCCGTATCACTGAAGACACCTCTGTTCTCTTGGGATTTAGATGCTGTTATGCATGTTCTGATGAATTAGTGAGGAGAAGTTACACTTGCCTCCTCTTTTTGTCCAGGCTGCCTTTCTGTTGCTGGTGCCCAAACATGGGCCCGTGTCTCAGCTACCTTCTTACACAGTCTGTTGAGTTTGTCAGATTAATCTGGCTAATACTAGTTTGTACCTGTCTTCACAGACAGTTTAAGCTAATGCGTTGCAGTCCAGAGCACACCAGCTTTGTTCAGCCAAATTTACAATAATGAAGGTAACTTTGTAAGAAGAAGATGGCATACTGGAGAGATCAATGCCTCAGAGTGGCCTACCAAGGCATCTAGATGACTTCCATCAGCACACTCAAGCTTTCAGACTGAGCAAACGCTGTCATTCTCTTCCTCCTGTTCTGGGGATTTGAATTTGGCCTCTAGTACTTTTAGACAGATTTGAATTATTTTTGTGATCTCTTTTCTCTAAGGCATTTCTGTTTGAAAGAGTCACCAAATTTTAACAATTGTCCTTTCTAGGCTAGTGCAGTTACAAACATTCAGTGCCACACAGTGAAAGAGCAATTCTACAGCATCAAGAAGAAAACGGTAAATGTTTTAATGCAAATAGTCAAGAATGATGTGTCTGGCACTCCAGATTAGCTTCTCTTTCCAAGGGAAGAGTTAAACTACTGCTTTGTGAGCTCTGTCAGCTCTGGCAACAGGACTTCATTGGCTTCTTTCTGCAGCAGCACAGTAGAGCCTTTTGTAATGCTCTCAATGACCACACTTGAAAACTGGATTCTTTCTGAAGTGTTTTTCTGCTGTGTTTTTTTTCATTGGATCTTTAATAATGGTTCTTTCAGATAAACCCCACAAAGCCATAGATAATAACTGAGAACTTGTTAAGATAGATGCTGGTCCAACATTTTTCAGTGGGATATGGTTTAGCCTTGTATCAAAGTAGGCTTGATTCCAGGGTCATTGCGTACTGAATGAAATCTGTGAACACTGGCTAATAAGTTGCTAAAGACTGAGTTGTCTTTGCCCATGTTGTTACGAAATCTTCTTTCTATTGAAGGAAACCACTGACAGAGTTGGCCCCATGGTTCGTTAGCCTGGCAGAGGTCGTGAACTGCATTGGTTTACAATTACTGTTAGTCAAAGGTGGCTTCTCTATAATGTGTAGTAGGGTAAACCATACAGCTTTGTTAGTGTTCTTAGACACCGTGGGGTTAATGGGGATTCATCTTTCAGTAGGATGTCCTTGGAGCCTTTCACTAGCCTTTTTGGTTTTTTTAAAAAAGGAACAGCATCCAGAGTGGATGCTGAAATAAGATGCAGCTTTTCCCAGGTTAGTGGCCTGTAGCAGGGAAAGGCAGTCCAACTGGAAGCTGGGGGCAGTTTTGGGCTTGGGTGTTTTCTGGAGAAAGAAAATAACCTCAGAGAGACTGGAGGTGTGGAAGAATAGCTACTAAAGCAGAAGAGAGGAAGTTAGGAAGGGAATTACCACAGAGGAAGAAGAGGTAACTGAACAATCACACAAAATCTTGACTATACAACACTCTTGGCACAGAAATACTGGAGTAGTGCTGCTTTTTATACCACTAAAGGTATGAAAATGGCGCATTTTAATTTGGAATTGAACTCATAAACTGCTGCAATAGGCATCTTGTTTTTTCTGGCTCTGTCATGTTATATTTTCTGCATGTGGCAGTTTTTGTGTATTTTTCTGTCCAGAGGTAGTTATGTTGCCCCTTGAAGAAGCAAGAGCTAAGAAAACTGCTGACATTGATAACTGAGTTAAATGTTGACAGTTACCAGTGGCATAAAGGAGTCCTCAAAGATCTGATAAGTACCACTGGTAAAGTTGGGGAACTGTTTTATCAGATGTAAACATTCTGTCTGAGAGGTCATCCAGAGATAAGTTGTAAGCTGTGGTGTGAGCATTTGTCACATGCCCTGACAGACCATTTACTTAAAAAAAGAGCTTGCAAGTAACAGTCCAAGAGTTACCACAGCCATGACAGTACAACCATGTCCTGTCCCTGCAAGCTAATAGCCACAGAAATCCTGAGTGTCCAGAGATCAAGAGTGAGGAAACAGAACATGTGATTCTCATTCTTGGTCTCATATGACTGATGGGATCTTGGCTTCAGAGGAACTTCAGCCGGCTGGAGGCATTACAAATGCTTAAGGCAAGGGCACACTTTTGCTTATTGAACAGTTTGGACGGAGCTCAGTCTTGCTGGTTGGCACCTGATCCTCCTTCTCTGACTTCCTTTTCAAAGTGCTACTTGGCACAGATTCACAAATGATTAATGAATCAAGCAGTGGTGCCCAGAAGACAATTTTACTACTTTTCATATTATCAGGACGGTGACTTTTTCCTACTGCCTGCTTTCCTATTGAGTTAGAGAAACAGACACACCCTTGTGTACTTTCCCTGCCGCTTCCCTTCGCTTCTTGCCGCCACCTCTGCTGATTTGCAGTGCTTTAATGGTTAGGTTTACACCTCATCTGATATGCAACAGCAGCATTTCCTGTGGCAATAAATGTACTTTTTTTTTTTTTTGTATTCATGAAGAAATATGTTTTGAAATATAGAGGAAACCTTTTCTACGCTGTTGCTAACGGTGCACAACAAAGGAATCTTTGTTGCTCTACAGGAGGACTTGCATAGGACAGCACTGTCCACTAGTCAATGGAAACAAAAATGGTTTTATTATAATGCTTTGTATCTTGGAAGGGAATGGGAGAAGTCACATCAGGAATGCAAAAAAAATGCAGTGAAAAGCCAAGACCTATTGCCATAAATTGTCTGCAGAGAAAGCCACCAGATGTCAGCACAGCCTGTTCTTTCATTCTCCAGAACCCCTGTAAGCCAAGAAATATGTAATGTTTATGAAAAGTGCTTATCAGTGAATTGGTTTAGCCTGCAAAGTCTGTACTAGGGTTCTGGTGATGAAAGCTGAATCCTTCCTTGCAGAAAGTATTTCTTTTTATATTAAAATCAAAAAGCGGCAAATTGAACTGGTATCAGTGCTTAAATTCCTCTTGTTAGAGAGCACCCTTTGCGGAGCCAGTTCCAGCATATCTAAATCTTTGCATGCTGTGAGGAGGCATTTGCAGAACATTCATTTGAAGAATTGTCTGGAAAAGATCAGTGTTAATTTGCCGAGGTTTTGTAAAGTAGACTTTAAGGAAAAGTAGACACAAGGAAAACCACCCAGAACAGACACACATGCAAAGCAGAGCAAAACATCTTCAGCAACACAGCTTAAACGCACAACAAATGTATCCTCCATGCTTCTGACCCTAAGCTCCTACTATTTCTTCCTTGTAGCGCAAGGGCTGAGGAGAACCTGGCACTGTGTCCTCTGGGCCACGCTTTCTGAGCTGTGATGAGCTGAGATGGGATATGAGTTTCAGAGCCCAAACCCAAGCACTGTGCACAGCTTTACGCTGTCAGTGAATGAAGTGTGCATAGGTGCTGCCTGGTTAAAAGGGTAAATTTGAGTTGTTGCACAGGAGCAAGGTGTGACGGAGCTTTCTGCTGAGATGCCTTTCACTTTCTTGCAGCAGCTTACAGATGTCGGGGAGCCTATCAAAGAGAGGGAAGTTAAGTGGCAGGTAGAGCCTGGGTGACCTAAATTCTTCCTTCCTTCTGTTTTGGCCTGCTTCTTTAGTTCCTTTCTTTTAGCCTTGTGGCACTGGTGTCATGCTAGGGGTTTACCACAGCTTGCTGTGTGTGAGAACTGCTTATTGATTCCAAATGCACCATAACCTTCAGCAACCATGCACAATTCAGCGGTGATGCGTGGGAGATAGCAGCTGTGCAGTCCTGCGCTGTCTGCGGAGGAAGACTACTGTGTGCATGGGTGCATGCAGCACGGTGGTGCAGGTTGTTTGGGCGGTGTTAGTCTTGCTTCTCTTCTTTCTGCACAGCACCCAGTTCTGCTTTGCTGGGGACCAGGACCTTGTCTTGAAGCATGGCATGCCTGGCAGATAGCTGGGAGCCGAGATGGGTGTTTGGGCTGGTGGTGCAGTGTGGGAGAGGATGGGACGTAGAGCTTTTCTTAAGTGAACAGAGGTTTTTAAAATGGAAGGTGTGGCGTTGATCTGTTTTTCACACTACTTAGAGGTCACACCTTTGGGTCTCTGTATGTATTCGTGTCCATCCAACTGGAGGACATCTGTTTGTTTTAGGGTCAAAGTAGCAATCCAGAAATGAAGCCTCATATCCTAGCAGGTAAGTATCATGGCTGTTACTTCACACTACTCCCCTGCTCCATCCCTCCCAAGTCAAATAATCCTGGTTTTGCAGAAAACAGACTTGAATCTTGCACAGTAACTTTGTTTTCTAGAGCGCTGAAGGAGACAGCTACTTAAACGCAGACATCTGTAGGCAGCTCTTTAAGCCAGCAGGCTGGCACCAGGCGGCAGCAGCTGAAGCTAGCTAATTGCAGATCAGATATGGGAAACAGATAACAAGAGTAACTAACCAGCTGAACAGCAGCTGTAGTGCATCCTCCACTGCTGAGGTTTCTAAATCTAAAGCAGATTATCTTTCTAGGATGACTGCTGTAATACCACTTTAAGACTTCAAAAGATTCCTGTAATACTATGGCTTGTAATACGTGATCCTCCCGACTGGCCGCACACAACAGTTATTTTTATTCTGTGATTATAAAAGTCCTGCGCACGCTCTGCTAACAAGAACTGTTCCTAATCATAGATGGTGTCCTCCTGCTGTGTATTGCATGCTCAACTTTAAAATAAGCCTGGTTCTGACTTGTACTAAAAAGCCTCGTGCAGCAATTCTGCTAAAACTGATGCTGCTTATTAAGGCACAATAAACAGATAAAAGAAAACTGTCCTAGTGTAACAAATCTCGTTCCTCAAACCTGAGGCACAGTCTGCAGATCCCACTAGCTCTGTTCATGAAATTTGGAGCTCAAGGATAACACCAGACTTTTGTTGCTGATTGTAGCAGGTCACACAGCCGCGCTGGCCATCTTGGGGACTGGAGGAAATATATTGCATGGAGGTTCTGAAGCAAGTGCATCCCCTAAAGATTTAACTCTAGTTTGATATATCACTTTGTAAGGAAATCCCTGAAGAGCAAGAAACCAATTGCAGTGTTAAAAGCCTTGTATTATAAAACAGGAGGAGTGAGAGAACTGTACCTGCAGAGGTTAATCTTCAGCGCAGGCATTTAAATGAACTCATTAAAATCAACTTACAAATTAGCTCATTAAAATGCAGTGCTGCAGATCCAGAAGTTGGTTGATCTGGTATGCCACTTCTATGAAGAAGTGACTTAAGAAAGGGAGAACAAATTGATAGTATTAAAACTCCCTTTTTCTTTCCAGTCCAATAACCCCCCATCTGGAACTGCCTCTTCCCTGAACTCTGTATCAACAGCACTTTTTGTTTAGTGAATTAAGCTTGCTTGATCCTCTGCTACAAGTGCCGTGTAATATCACTAGCCTCTTGTAATGAAACGTGTCTGTACGCACTTGTGCCCTCCCACAGGCAGAGGAACTCCGTAATTGAGGCCCTGGCACCATGGGCCACAGCAATGATTATTTTCACTTATTACCATGGTAACGAGACTTTACCCACTGCTGGCTGTAGTGGGTTTTACTTCTTAGTGGTTACATTCTAGATAATCACACTACTCTGCTAGTGCCATTAGAGTAATGGTGGTGTTTAGGGGGAGGAGAGAAAAAAAGACTCAAATGCGTTCTGTTATATAGACCTGTTCAGAATATCTTTTATATAACTACAGATGCCAGTGATTAAAACTGGCCTTACTCTTACAGCTTCTCGGTTGGTTCTTACATATCCCAGAGGCACATAGGAGGCAATACAGAAAATAAAAATATAAAGAGTTTACATTCCAGCTATATATTCTGCAATAATAGCATATGTGTGTACATATATACAGAGAGCGAGAGAAACTCCAAGTACAAAACCAGTTTGTTGGTAAATTTTAAGCTAACCTCACTAAACCCCCTATCCACATCAAAAAATTCACAGGGAAAAGATAATTCAAAAATTCCTCAAACTACTTTTCAGCATTCCAGAATCAGAAGAAATTACTCCAACTGTTGTGTCAAGGGCTTCAAGGACCAGACGCCTACAGAGGGCACCGTTTGAAATGCTGCTCTGCCTTTATCGGAGTTGGTTTCAGCTTTTAAAAGGGTTGGTGGGTGGCTGGCTGGACAGTATGTTGGCACAGGCAGTACCTGGAGACACTTGACGAGCCTTTTTTTAGATGCTGTGGAGCTGCAGGGATTTTGAGCTGCCTCGCCTGTCCATCTGGGCTCCTGTCCATCTGAAAAGCACCGTGCTGACTCAGTAAGGGAGCCAGCTCCTCAGATAGGTCCGGGTGCCTGACTCTGCTTCTGCTCATGAAAACGGTCCCTTTGCCATTGACGGGAAAGGGCATGTGGGCGTGAAAGGCAAGCAAAGCGAAGGTGCCAACCTTACTTCTGCTGGGCAGCCAAGTGAGCCTTTACCTTTGCAGTAACTCACAACAAACCCACACCTTTTCCCTTAAAGACAAAGCCTGCAAGCCTGTGTAATGTTCTTTCCCTCCCTCCTAATCCCTTTTTTTTTTTTTTTTGCCACCAGGCAATAGTCTTGCCTGACCTGATGAGGTGAAACAAAGCTTAGGTGGGAAAAAAGAGGCATTGGAATACACTACTGTAATCAGAAATTGGGTAAACTGGTGCTTTTATGTTGACTTTGCTTGAGGATGAAATGGAAGAGAAGACTAAAGAACAAGCTTGCTGAATCCAGTTTTCCCTCAAGGATGAGTTAAACTGGAGTGGGTGGAGTTATACTCAGGTGAAACTGTCTCAAATCCTTATGGAAACGTAACGTATCATTCAATCACAAATAAATAGTGCTGGGGAATCAATCTGCTTGGTGAGTGATGTGATCAGGTGCTGATCTGGGCTGGGCTGTGGAGGTGGATGGGGAAATCTGAGTAACGCAGCCTTCTGAAGGGGACGGTGGGAAAGGATGGTACCTTCCCTGTGTTGCCAGATAACCCACAAAACAAAAAAATCAGCTGATGATGAAATCTAGGCATTTCCCTCATGCCAATTTCTTTCTATTCAGGGAAAAGAAGTGGCGTTTGGAGACTTCACTGTAAGCCTGAGGCAAGAACTAAAATCCCTCAATATCATCACTGGCACCGTGAGCAGTTATTTGAGGCTAAACAGGGAATTCTTAAGATTCTTTGTCTGTGTAGAAATCATCCAGGTTACAGAAGCAATGTTTCCTTGTAGAAGGGCTTACGTGCCCCAAAGTTGATCATTTCCCCACCGATCCATATTAACTGCTGTAGTAACAAGTACTTTCCTGTCCCCCAAACCATGCCTCATTTGATGCCGACAGCTGCTGTTTTTCAAAGCAATACTGAAGGCGGAGTGGTGTCTTTTACTTAGCTGTAGGAAAATGAGGCTATTCTAGCCATGACCTTGTATCTGACCTTACTGAGGTAGTCGTCTTGTGTCATCCCGATTGCTTGCTTTTAAATGAGCTTTCGGGAATGGCTGTCCAGGCTCTCTGTGGTGATTTGCATGTCAAAAACCTAAAGAATTATTCTGGTAAAGAGCAAGAGCTTGAAGGGATAGAAAGCGACAGGTGGAAAATGAAATTAGGGCAGAAATCTTCATTGCCCTGCCCCTTGTCCAAAGTGTGTGCGAAGTCAGAAGCGCATTTGATACCCGCTTCATGATCTGGCAAGAGACTTTTTAAGGTGCAAGGCAGTGAAGGACTGTGCCCAAAATGTACAACTGCTGTTATTTTCATGTTGTGGTCAAGACTCGCTGATCCCTTTGCAAGACCGTTTGAAGATCTTATTATCGCTAGTGAAACCAGTGGGCTTACAGCTGCTGTGTTGTCTGCGTAAATGGGCATGTTCAGGTGACAGTGATTTCTAAAAGCTTCACCCTTTTATTTGATGTAAGGCCAGCTGGAAGGCCTTGGTTTTCTCCGAGTAATTTTGTGAAGCAGCAGGTCTTTCTGATAATTATCTTCACTCTATTTCCATCAAATACCGCTTGAAACTTTGGCTTCGTAAAACAGAGAACGTGCAGCAGCAGCAGCTGTCATCCCAGAGCCAGCAGCGCGCACCAGACGTGTGATATTGGGGACATCTCTCTCTCCAAATGCTGGAAAGGTGCTTTATTTCCATAGCTTATAAAGGTGCACCCAGGCACAGCTTACGGGAGCAGAAGTGCTGTCTGCATTTGAGAGAACAGGGATACTTGGACTTGCTGTCAGGTTTGGATGCTTTTAGTAGAATCTGCAGACGCTACATAACATGGATATTGCTGTTCTAACTTGTCCATAGAGTTCATTGAGGAGACCAAAACCAGAGACGATTCATCTTTCTAAACCTCACTGCCTTGATTGATCCAGACACTCAAGAGGCAGGATATCTTTGCTGTCATCTGTGCTACTTCATATTAAAAAAAAAAAGAAGAAAAGGCATTGAAATTTATGAGAGCAGCTAGGGAAGCAACCGAGAAGTACTGGCACCTCAAGTGACTGATCGGACTAACGGAGTCCATCAGTCTCCCATGTGTATTAGTGCTGCTAGCTCGGCTTTCACAGTCATTTTTAAGGCAATAATTCTCCTAGCAAATCAGCAATATAATTTAAGTACTACTGTCTAAACTAGTTTCCTGGTCATCCATTTGCTAAAGTCACCAAATTTTATTATTTACCCACAACGCAATTATACCAAAACATACATATATTTAAGAAAAAGAAACACCTTTATAGAAATGTTGATAGTGCTTTGAAATCCTCTGTCACAGCTGGGGCTCTGCTAGACATTGCTAGAGGTCTCCCTGCTCAAATATTCCCCCGTTGCGCTGGGCAGAACAAACTTCACGTATCTCCCCTTCTCCCAGCCCCTCCGGATTCGCAGAAGTCTTTGCCGGATGCAGGGCAAACTGAAGATGACTTTTGCCAGGATCACAGTGCATGGGACGAGCAGCGTGAGGGTGTAGGTCGGAGGCAGGTAGAACTTGTACTGGTTCTCATCGAAGGCCCTCGACCATCCGTACGTCAGTGTGTGCAGAGTGCTGATTAACAAGGCAATAAATCCAAGGGTGGACTAAAAGGAAGAGGAACACACGCCAGTTAGCAGGGGTCCTTGTGCCTGTCTGTTTTGCTGTCTGTCCTGTACATAGCACAGAGAAAGCAATTAGTATTCCTGCGTTTCTCGGGCAGAATAAAACGCGACTGGAAACCTTCCCTGGGTAGCGTGCCAGACTGCGTTTTTCTTTTTCTAATCAGAGGTTAAGTGTGATATTAGAAACTCAGCAGGAGTTTCCCAGAAGGTGCTGCCAACTCGGCTGCGAGATGGGCTCCAGCCTCCGCCTGCCGCAGCAGCCCCCAGCCCCTGCCGAGCTCGTAACCGCGGGCAGCTCGCACGTGCTCCTCCCCAGCCGCAGCTGCCGGCCCGGCCGCCTGCTGGTCCGTGGCTGGCGAGAGGCTGCTGGCCCGTGGGCTGAAGCATCAGCATCGTGGCTCGGGACCAGCAGTCCGCACCGTCAGAAGTCGGTGAGGCTGTAGCCTCGCACGGAGCAAAGACACCTTCGGGTAACTGCTGTCATCTACAGGCAAATGAGGTTGTGGCGACAGAAGTGCTCTGGTCTGAGGTGAGCAACTGCCCTGAAGGGTTTCCTTCTCTGTCCTAGAGATCCGTGCTGGTTCGTGAGCCAGACCACCAGGCTGTAGGATGGACTAAGTCCTTGAAATGGGGAGCCAAGGGCCCTTTATCCACTTGGGGAGGCAGCAAGAACCCAGCCCCTGTTTTGCAGACAAAAACTTCCCCCATTTTCACCTGGGATCATGGCTCCCAAGCACCCACAGAGACAACATTTTGCTTGAGGGTTGCTCTCAAGAAGGGTTTTAAACTGGTGTCCCCTCACCGGTGGTTTCCTGCCAGCATCAGAGGTGGTGGCTCCCCAGCTCGCCCGCTCCTGCTGCCCGCTGGGGCTCGCTCCCAGAGGCATCTCAAGTACAAGCCTTTGCTGCTGTTATTTTCAAAGAAAATGAGTAGCATGCTGCTCTGCTGCCCTACTTCAAATGGTTGGTCTAAGCCTGCAATAACAAACACATTTCAAGATGCCTAGATGGGGAACATTTTGCTGCTGCCGTCCCTAACATAGGGAAGGAAGCCTTTACAAGTCGAAATACCTGGCTTGGTGCAGCTAGTCAGAGATCAGCAAGAAACAGGGTCTTCCTGAAGGTACGTCCAGGAAAGAGGACACAGCAAGGAAATAAGGGACCAGGGCAAGACAGGAGGAAGGACTCATCGTCTCTTGAAAAAATAACCTCAGCTGGAAAGCTACTCAATTCAAAGCATCCCTTCCTATTTTTGATTGTTGGGAAACTATTTAAAAACCCAGACAACTTTTTAAAATGTACCATGTTGCCAACAAGCTAGACCAAGCATCCTCTAACCTCCAGAGCTAATCATTTAGGCAGCTGAGAGGAGTGGGCAGGGGAGGGAAGGAGAGCTCCAGAACGTGCTACGTGCTACCAGCAGTAACTACTTTACTTTGACAGCACCTATCAGGCAGTCATGTGGGTGTCACCGAGTCCTGCCAAGATTTCACTCGTACAACACCCTGCCAAGTTAGGGAGCTCTCCTCTCTGTGTTACAGCTGAGCATTGCTCAAGGTCGTGCTGGGAGTCAGGAGCAGACCCGTGACCTGCACTTCAGTCCTGCGTGCATCCCCGCATCTGTCCTTTCTTCCAGGAACAGCTGTCCTTCTTCCCAACAGCCACGTCTGATTCCTAAGCCAAAGTGGTAACAAGCAGCAACAGGGTCAAGATTGGTTTCACTTGGAAAGTTAAGGAGGAGTTTGCTGGAATATGCCATGACTGCAGTTGAACCTAACAGCAGGACTTGACCCACAGCTCATCCATCCTTTACCGACTCCAAGCTTCTCTCCAGCAGGCACTAAAATCCCTGGGCGGCAAAAGGTTGGAAGTACCAACTTAAGACTCATCTGGCAGAGCAGAGATGTAAAGCAGGGCAGGGGAAGAGGGACAGGGTGAAGTCCAAGGGCAGTAGATGCTTTCTGCCCTGGGCAGAGGGTGATTTTGGAGTCAGCCTGAGCAGGGCTCTATGCACGGCAGAGATGTCAGAGCTGGAGATAATTAAGTTTATTCCTCTTTCAGCTGCTGCTGGTACCGGGGGAGAGCAGGAGTGGAAATTAATGGGACAAAAGGTGACAAACCATCACAGGCGCTCAGTGACCCACCTTTGCGTGTAGATGGTGGGGTGCATGAAACAAAAAAGCTAATTGGCAAAAAAATGTGTGGATAAGCTGGCAGTGGCTGGGAACGGGCACTGGCAGCTCCTGAGACAGCAGCAATGGGCTGATCTGCTCCTAACAGAAATGAGGGGCTGTCTGCTGAGCTGGGGTGCTGGGGCAGAGCAGGGTGCCTGGGGGAGTGGGGTGGTCCCAATGCCATCAGCTGGCTGAAGGACCTGTGGTCAGCAGGGTCCCATGGCTGCACCCACCAGACAAGCTGTCAGCTGGGTATAGGTTGCTCTATAAGCATATGAAAGACAAAAGTTTTGCCGATCGCAGCCTGGCTCAGTATATACTGCTCAATGTATACCCCGTATACCAAAATGCAGCCTACTGAGCACCCCACAGGGGCTGATTTGCCAACGCGCTCAGCCCTGATGGTGCACTGCGTTTTGAAGCTCTGCCCTCGTTTAGCCTCTCAATGCAGTTTCTGGATGGGAAACTTTTTGGGTTTTTGTTTCAAACAGTGGCAGGGGTTTCTTTTGCACTGTCGCAGCATGGGGAATATGGGACCACCACCCATGTAAGGTGCTGTTAAAGCCCTCTGAAAGATGGCTCTGTGAAGATGGCATCTTCCTAATGCAGGCTTTGCATCTATTTTCCATTCTGTATTAACTCCCGTATCTCCCCCATCTCCTTGGTGCCTGTGAGGCTCCCCGTAACGCATCAGCAAAGGTGATTCGGTCGCATGCGGCTCATTTAGAAATGCCTGGGCAGTGTCCAAAGCCAGCGTCCCCTTCCTGACCCATATACACCTCTGACTGCTGCTGCCGTCAGTCCCGTGAAGCAATTAGCTCCGTGGAAGTGGCTCTGGCTCACGCTTCGTCGACAGGAGGGTTAGAAAAGGTCTGATGACAGATTCTTTACATCTTGCCATACACGAGCTAAGAAAGAAACCAGGTCAATTCAACCTTCAAATTCTGGGAGGAATTCTCCGGGTGGGAAGGCAATCATACCCATTTTTACTTCTCAGCCAAGTACATTTGATTTGTAAATCACTGGGGAACATTAAAAATGTCTCCTCTAAGTTGAATTACATACAAAACGTTCCTGTTACCAGTGTCTAGACCCCATACATTTTCTGTTAATCAAAACTGGACATACAGGGGAACTGTGTATCCAGTTTAACTATATTTAATTGAAATTTGGATACATGCAGAAACTACTACAAAAATTAACTTTTTTTCCCTAAAACCTTAGCAATAAGCCAAACAGGATTTTTGGCCCATCAAGCAACAGATGAGTATTTTAAGAGCGTGGCAGCGTCCCACGACGCTAATGCAGGTGCACACGCTGCTGCTGGAAAATGCCAGGCTTGGGAAGCTCCGAGTAAGGAGGAGACTAAAGTGGCTCCTGGATTTATAACAAGCCCCAGCCCTCTCTCAAATGTGGATTTTGGTCGAGCGTCCCTGAAACACCCTAGCCAGTTCAATGGCAACAAATTGCTGCATTTTCCGGGAGTCAGCTGGCAGGGGTGGCTGTGCTCCCCATTCTCCCCATCTTTCACTTTTCTCAGGCACAGGAAGCCACGATGCCTCTGATGCACTGTAACGGGGTCAAGTGCTAGACATCCCAAATATTTGAGACAGCAGCCTCGCGCTTCACCCTTGTATTTGCATTGTGCCACTGTGCATTAATTCAGGGAGGATCACATTGCGCTGCGTGAATGTTAACCTCTGGAGCCTGGGAGCAGTTTTATTTGCTCTTAATTTCCTCAATTTCACCAACTTACTGAAGAGTAAATAATTTAAGAGAGTCCTCATTTAAAAAATAAATAAATAAATAAATGGAAGCTAATGTGCTAAGAGAGGCTGTAGCCAGCTTTTTCCATGGTATTTCCACAGAAGGGCACAATACCAGCCGTGCCTCTCCCGCATGTGATCAGCCAGCAGCTCGTGTCGCATGGCCATGCTTTATCCCATGCGGACAGGAATAGGTGTGAGTATCTTTCCACGAACTAAGCCAGCCAGTTCCCACGTGGGGCAGCCAAGAGCTATTTTGGAGCCCAGCATCACGAAGGTCTCCTGTGCCAGCGCTGACATACCCTTAGAAAGACGTGGGAAGGGGTCCCAAAGGGCAGACGCGACAGTCGCGTTCCATACACTGTTTGGAGGCGGCACCACTACCTGCCGTGACAACGTATATATTACAGGACACGCTGCCAGCACCCTCCAGGAGAGCTGCCGGGCTGCCTGGGGAGCCAAAGGGAAATGCAGGGGGTTTCAAAGCCTCCTTCCAGGCTGCAAGGAGGTACTTCCCTTCCTTTGGGATTCCTGCTATGAGATGCCTAAGCCAGGAACGATTTATCCAACGTCCCAGCAGCTGCAGCCCTCCCTTGAGACGTGGTGGCGAGAATTAATATGCTCCTGCTGTCCAACCTGAAAGAGAGGTTTAAAGCCAGGGCTCCCTTCTCCCCAAGGGAGTCTTGGGTTCAAGCTCTCCCGGTGAGGCTTTTCTACTCAGTGTAAATAATTACTCGCTAGCCCACAGCAAGAGAGGAAAAAAGACAAACTGGCTTGCTCGTTTGGTGATCAGGGCACTTGTGGGAGAAGCGGGGGAGCGGGCTTCAAACTCCTGCTCTAATGAATATTGAATTATTTATATGCTGCTGAAGAGCTTCAGCGGGAGAGGCTGGGTGACAGATATTCACCTCTGCATCCCTGAACCCTGCCCTCCTCTTTCGAAGGGTTAGGCGCCCTGCGCAGGGGCAGCTCCGCGGGGGAGATGCGGGGGGACGGGGTCCCATGGGGGCTGAGGCACGTCGGGGTGCCACGTGGGTCACTGCAGTGGGACCCGAAGCCTGGCGCGTGCTAAGCAGCAGCGATGCGGCAGGCATGAGTGACAAGGGGTCTTAGGACTGTGGGATGGGACAGTGGCATGGCGAGTGGAGTTTGGCTTCAAATTGAGCTTGAATGTGCAGGGAATACGTGAAGGTTCGTTGCCTGCCATCCCCGTTAGTTAGCCCTAAGCCCGGCTCCAAGCATGTCCCTCAGAGTGCTGCAGCCCCTGAGTTTGGGGTTTGTGAATGGCCCATGTGCTGGACTTGGGTCACAATGGGAATTTGGCCCTTGGGAGCTTGGACATCGCTGCAAGTGGGAAGAAGGCTCCTAAACTACTGAATGACTTTGGAGAAAGGAAAAATATCCCTGCACTCCTCATTCACCTTCTAGAATCAGACATGGACATTTCACTGAAACCACACCCAGTTCTCTCTGCTTCTTGAGCGCTGGCATGTTTATAGACCAGTCTAGGTCTCTTCAAACCTGTCGAATATTTGGGTGCATGCAAGCTCTGCCAAACCTGACCTCCCCCTGCACTGTCCTCCCAGGCGCTTTCCTAACCGTTGTCTTCTCAAAGCCCACTCTCCCCGAAAGGCACGGGCAGATCTGCATCCCGCAGCCAGCTCGCTCATCCTCCCGCAGCATCCCCAACATACCGTGCGTGACTGACACGCGGCCAGCTCCACAGGGGATCCTGCCCACGGAAGGGAACAACCCTGAGCTCTCAGAACAACCCCCAGGCTTTCTGCCTGGTGTGACTCGAGGAGGTTTTTAGCTGTGAACGGCAGCACTGCTGCTCATGGGTGCAGAGGGAGGAAAGGAGCACTCGGCGGGGGTGTCACGCAGGCAAAGCCCAGGCTGTTTGTTTCTCAGGATCTCTAATGCTGCTAAATGCAGGGTGAGAAAGAACTTCAGCCAAGACATTAAAGACTCCCTCCTGCAAAGCCTGCCACTAATCCTCACATGGGTGCCCATGACACATTACATTTTCCCTTCCCCCAAGACAGCAGCACCCTCCGCAGACGGGGCGAGCCCTGCATGGGAGCAGCACGGCCCCCCAGGACACAGCGCACCCCGTATCACCTCCTGGGCGTGGGGTCCACGGCTCGGGGGTGCAGGGGGAGGTGTGGGGTGGCAGGGTTTGCCCCTGACGCTGGCGCGCAGCTTGCAGAGCCCGTGCTGGAGCAGGGACGTGCTGGGACGCCAGGTCAACCTCTGCCCTCTGTGGTCTGTGGGAGAGCCTGGCTCCGACTGCAAAATCACTCTCTGGCATTGGCAAATGTCGACTTTACCTGAATGAAACTGAATTCCCTCCAGTTGAGAGAGTTTGCGATGGATGGAAGTGAAGTGATGGCAAGTAACGACAGCAAGCCCAGGGCAATTATTCCAACAGAGATATAAATCTCCATCCTCCAGACTTCCTCCTCTACCCAGATATTCATCTTCTTCTCCACAGCCTGGCATGACAATGAAGGTTTGTTAAAACGGAGCGCTTAGGCATAGAGGAACTGAGTTTTATCTGTATTCGTTCTGGTTTTGGAAGCAGGTTTCCTGGATGAACACTGGGTCCTACTCACACCTCCAGCACTAGTTGCCCCTACGTTCTGGGAGGTGTGAAAATGCTCTTTTACCCCACCGCTGTTTAGCCAAGCTAGACCAGATCTGAAGCCTGCTGGGAAGAACTGCTGAATGCTCTCAGCTCCCACAGCCCATAACCACAGCAGCAAGCCCCAAAGTCACATTTGGAAAGGTAATTAGAATGAGAAGTCAGTTTAAAGCCATGAAAACAAATACAGATGCTTGAATATGCAGCAGTCTCCTAATAACCTTCGTTTTAAGTGCATTTAGGGGGGAAATTGTTCATGCTAATGGAAGGGAAGATGGGTTTTATGCTGCATGGGAAAGAGCAACATTTAGAACCGTCCTCTTTAGCCCATTAAATGGGTTTAATTTACTAAACAAAGATGTTGCTAGAAAACAGGAGGTAGAGGGGAAATGAACACAGGATGCTTCCCCGAGATTGATGTGCAACCATGGCAATTGAGAAGGACCTGCTGAAGGCTGGAGCTGAGAGGCTGGGGATGTTGTCTGATGGATGCTTTGAAGGGGCACTGCTGCCGACAGCAGCCGTCCTGCTCCCCGCTGCCCCCAGGGCCCCTTCCTGCCTCTCTGTTGGGACACGTGGGCAAATACCCCAGTGCAGAAAGCAGACTGGTTACGGGGCAATTCCTTGGTTGGGTTCCCCAATTGGCTACACAAAGCTTGAGCCATCCCAGGAGGTGGTGGGGTGAAGCAGCGAGAAGCCAGGGGCAGGAGAAGGGCAGAATCAGATTTTCCCGTGGCACTGCCGGGTTCCAGAGCCAGCCGAATTGCCTGAAGGTAGCAATCTCACACTGGATAAACACTGCCAAGAGTCTTAATAAGGCAATGAAGTCCTTTTCCATTTCCTCGTTCTCCTAGACTATGACCACTTCTTCACCATCATTTTGTTAAACTCCTGGAGGCACACTGTGGTGAGCAGACACCTCCTACAAAACCCCCCACCCCGGGTCATGACTTCGCTCCAGCAGGCACCTCCTGTGGACATCAGTGCAAGCAAATGGGGATCTCCCAAAATGCAGAAAGAAAAGTTGAGGGGAACTCTGCTCCCTCCACCCCTGGATTTCTCCTCTCCTAGCATTTGTCCTGCCTCTCAGACATGTGAGGCTGGTCTCAAAGGCTTGTCCGTGCTTCTGGAAGCAGTGGCACGGGGGAGTCTGATCCTCACCCTGGCTGTAAGTGCACGGGCAGCACCCTGCTAAGGTTGGCTGGTCCTCAGCATGGATGGTGCACACCGGTTGCCTCGTGGAAGTGCTCATACAGATAAGGGCTTATTCCCACTGTCCCACACGTGCTTTGGAAAGCAAATGCAAAAGCCGAGATACTAAGCCTGCTACCCAACATCTGGATGCGTGTGGCAGATTACTACAGGTGCTGACCTGAAGAGTACCCACATTACCTGCTTGACGGCCGTCTCGATTAACTGGTAGCGGTGGGAGCGGCGCATGGGCAGGCAGAGGCTGTACACGGCATGCAAAGCCGCGCAGAAGAAGCTGAGGAGACCGATCTGCTTTCGGTGCTGGAGCCACTGGTCGAGCCAATCTGGAAAGCGCTTGTATTTGGTGCCATAGTAGAGCTGCGAGCAGGCTGCCAGCACCCCGGGCAGGTAGACGAGAGACAGCATGACGTAGGCCACGCACGGCAGCGTTGTGTTGACCACCTCGATGGGGATCTTGTACAACTTGTTCTTCTGCTCCCTGATGTACGGGTGGATGACCTGCCGGATCAGGTTGTAAGTGAAGAAGCAAAGGAAGAGCCCCAGAGCCAAAAAGGTGGGGATTTTCCAGGCTGGCAAGAGGCGCAGGGGAATGTTCTCAATCTCACGGGCTGATGACATGCAGCCCATGTCCACAGGGGTGAATCCCATGACTTGAGCAATTTCTGCGACTGTGCGCTTGGCTTCTTGGCTATTTGAGCAAATCAGAACCTGCAATGAACAGAAAGATACACACAGGGCAAAGACAGATCAGGCTGCTGGGAATGAGCGCGTCAGGAGGGGTGCTATGCTAAAGGAAGCCTACGTTATTCCACCGAGCATCATGCTTCCTGGCAGGCTTTCCGAGGGGGCTTTACCATAGCTGCCAAAGAGCTGTCTCTCCTGGACAGGTTTCCTTTCATGTGTGCACCCACCAGTTTGTTTTACTGGCTGTGTTCAGGTAAACAGACAAAGAATACTTTTCACTTAGGCAGAAGCTCCAAAGACTACAAAGCGTGAAGTAAGTTGGGGGTACTTCATTTCCGAGCAAAGAAATGCAGAAGCTATGGGCTGGTCTCTGGATGCCACAACCAGCACTCAGACCCCTTTTCCTGGAGCCATCTGCTGATGCTGCCAGACCTCAGCTGCTGAAACAGTTGGGATGTGGCCCTTGCCAGAAGAAAACAATACCTGCTTATTTCCATCCCTGGCACCCGACTGCAGCGTCCACGCGGAAACCACATTAAACCCCTTGACCACGGTGCAGGCTGGGAACAGGGAAGCCAAGTACTCGGCATTGGATTCTTTGTGATGGTTGATCTCGGTGTTGTTACTAACGTCCACCAGGATCTTGCCTGCCAGCACATCAGCCAGGTCACAGAGGGTGGAGTAATGTTCCCTGAAAACCGCCACAAAAATGACATCGGTCTTCTTCACCGCGTCAGCCTGGAAGGTGACTTCTGCTGCAGAAGGGAAGAGGCCAGTTTTGCGCTTTGGGTTGCGGCTGCCGACCACCACCTTGAACCCGGAGCACACTAGGCGGATGGCCAATGACCGTGCAAAGTCCCCACTCCCCAGCACCCCGATGGTGCGGCCGGCCGTGGGCGTGATGCTGAGGTCACCCTCCATGCTCCGATGGCCCAGGAGGGGTTTGGCCATGTCTCCTCCAGACATCCTGGCAGGAAAAACAAGGGGAAATGCAAGTTCATTGTGAAGCTCTTGCAGAGATCCAGACCACATCCACGGTCATGGGAGAAAATGCCACTTAGGCCACTTGAACAGAAGTGGATGTGGTTTTGGTCCCAGTAGCCCAGGACCCGTCTGCCAAACCCACCAGCAAGCATGCAGTAATGTACAAGCACCATTGGAGGGGGACAAAACACCAGGCTGGGGTGGAGGCGAAGGGTTTTAGGGAGGTTTCCCGGTGTTTGTGTGATCCAACACCAGCTGGCTGGACTCACCCATCCCTTGCTGTTCTTCATGCTGGCATCTCAAGCTGCCAGCGCAACCCTAACAGTGACCAGGACCGGCAACTCTCAGAGCCCCATGGAGCCAGCAGGCATCTTCCAAAAAGCCCAGGGCCAGGGATCCATGGGGATCCCTGAGTCCACATTGGGAGAGCTGTGGAGGTGGGCTGGCTTCTGATCTGGAGGAGCAGAATCAAGGCAGGGAGTTTAAGCTGAAATGAAAGTGTCCTAAAAGTGGTAAGTGAAGAGAGTTGCAGCCTATGCCTGTTCCAATACCTGGGTCTGGCAAGCGCTGTTTGCTTCAGCTCGTCAATGAGTAATGAGAACTTACTCGTGACATTTAAAAAATATATTAAAACATGATGGGATTTGCTCATGAAAGATGTTGATGAGCTTTACAAACGTTAATGAATTTTGCCCTGCAACACTCTGCTCTCCATAACAGATTAGATATTGATGCCACGGAGAGGTTTTAAGCAGATCAATAAATTCACGGGCAGCACACCGGCCAGCCCAGGGGGACAGATGAAACTCAGGCAGGGGACTGCCAGGCTGCTCGCAGTGTGCCACTGGTGGCTCAATTCTGCCTCCCAGCTTAAGGAATGGAACATTTTTAAAGAGCTCAGGAGGTGGCCCAGGGAACTTACACATCAGGACATCTGGCTTTTGTACTGGGGACACTGGTAGAGGTTATAATGAAGACTGTAATTAACAAACTCATATATTGGGGACCAAGACAACCTGGTTTTGGCAGAGTACAGTCTTGCCTTATAGCTAGTCAAGTTCTTCCAAAGTGAAGGTGACCACTCTGATGGGGTGACCCGGTCCCGGCACAGGCTGTGTTTTTCATAGGCTTTTGGAAATGCCCTTCACCCAAGGCTTTTCTGAGATTGGGGCAGTAGTGGTGCAAAGGGGAAGGGCACTTCTGCACAAATAGTTACCAATGGGAAACAAAGGGTACGAAGAAATAAGCAATTGTCATAACGGGAAGAGGTTATCCAAAGATTTCCCCGAGGATCTGTGTTTTTCAATGCGCTCATAAGCGGTCTGGGAAAGGGAGTGAATACTGAGAAGATGGAGTTTGTGGGTGATGATTGTTCAGGACAGTCAATCTTTGTTGAGAAGAATCTGCAGAAGGATCTCCTCGTTCGAAGTGCCTGAGCACCAAAATTCACTACTGACGCATGGCAAGAGCTGCCTATGGGCAGCTAACTATACGTATACTTTAATGAGCTGTGAATTTGTCAAAACCACTCAGAAAAAAAGATCTGAAGGTCACAGTACTCTGAAAATACCAGCTTGGTGCTTCTTGGCAGGTGCACATCAAACAGAGCCTGAGTTACCGGGGGAGATTTCTCACAAAGCAACCACGATCTCTTAGTCCTGCTCCTCATGGAAAGCCCACAAAACACAGATGGACCTCAAAACTGTAATTCACTGTTTTGGGTACAAAAATTCATGGCTATGGTGACAATACTGTTTCTGTGGCAGGGGTCTGTCTGCTCTCCTTGCCTCTCACCAAGCACCAAAGATGCAAGGCCATGGAAGAAGTGCTCTCAGGAAAAAGCAAGTGCCAAAGAAAAGGCGTGATGACTTCTCCCCATTAATAACACCTTTCCTCTGCTCCCCGCATATCATGTAGACTTTCTTTCATCCTCTAGGTGAGTAACAGAGTCCTGCTAAACTCAGAATTACTCGTACTTCACTCAGGTTTCTGCTTCTGTTCCAGACCTGCAGAGGGGTTTGTGTGGGCAATGCTGGCTGCGTCAGCTGGGTTAACCCAGGCTGCTGCCTGTGCACACACCCCTGCCTTAGGTATATTCCATGTCTACCACGGTCACTGGGATGTTTCATCCAGGAATTGGTGGGAAAGGCTTAGAAAAAAAATCACAGAAAACACTGCTGTACCACTGTATAAACCCACATACTGCACGGCACACTGCAGTTCTGCTCTCTCCACTGAAAAAAATAAAAAGGGAATAAAACTAGAAGAGGGCCACAGTGAAAGAGTGAGAGAGATGACAAGGGCTGTCAGCTTGGAAAAGCAGCACCTCGGTGAGGAAAGGGGAATGCCTGGGATATCTCGAGGTGAAGAGCAACCTCACAGCTGGAGCTCAGGCCAACAGGAATGCTGGAGAGCAAGACGGACAGACCAGCCCTCTCCATCCACGACCAGCCATATGCAGAACCCCTGATGGAAAGTAAAGCAGCTGTATCTGAAAAGATGTTGTGGGTTTGTTTTGTTTTTTTTTCCCTGGCCCCTTCCTATCAGACACTTTATCAAAAGGTCACTGCTTTACTTTTTAGAAACCTTCTTGCTCCACCTAAATTTATTCGTGGCCAGAACTGTTTGTTCTAGGGCCAACTCTATTGTTCAGCCTAATGAGCTTTCTTTCCTACGGTCCCCCTCCTTTTCCACCACCTGTACACACAAAGTGTTATCCCGAAATACAGAGAGGTGCATCTCTGGCTCTCAGCCAAGGGGAGAGAAATCATCATTCAGGGTGACAAAGCGGTTGTTACCCGCAGACTCATTTTATAATCAACCTAAAGCACCTCAAAAGCGCTCTCCGTGCTCCCATGGGAATGCGAATTTTGCTGCAAGCAAACTTTCTTGTAGTGTTTTTCTCTGTCCTGTAACTGCCACTGAACATGTAGAGAGATGCTGGCAATGTTTGGCGATAAACAGCTTTGCTTTCTCCAGTTATTTTGATTAAAAAGGATGACAGAATTAAATGGCCTTTGAAGTCAGCAGTATAGTTAAGAAGTAAGAAGCCTCAAAATGTTTTCTGTGGATTTTGGTGTGATTATTTTAGTTGTACTTCAGCTGCTGGGGCTTCGGGGCAGGACCCGGCCCTGCTGCAGAGCCCGTGGTGGGACGGCAGCTCGCTCCCGCCGCCGGCT